GTTTCCTGTGGGCTCCTTGAAAGGTAATCAACCAGTCTTGAGTTATGTAGGGACCTTCTCTGGGAAGGTTTCTTGTAAGGTGAGGCTCCTTAGCACTAGGTGGCAGTAGATGCCCTGTGTCCTAGTTTGCTGCCTGTTGCTGTGGTAAAACACAGAAAACCCAATTTGGAAAGGAAAAGGTTTATTACATCCTATATGTTAGATAGAGTAGGTCATCAAGGGAAGCCAGGAGCTTGAGGCAGGAACCTGGAGGCAGAAACTGAAGTAGAGGCCATAATGCAGCTTAACTAGTTCGCTTCTCTTGCTTAGTTCAATCATCTTTCTTACAAGCCTGGACCCACCTGCCTATGAATGGCAATGCCCAGACCCTCCACATAATCAACAGGAAAATGCCTCACAGGCCAGTCTCATGGAGGCTTCTTAGATGAGATTTTCTTCTCCTAAGTGACTCTAGTTTAGGTCTATTTGACAAAAACTAACCAGCATACACTGTCAGAGTTAAGAGCTATGGACTTGAGGGGCACTTAGATTTTATATCATAAGGAATCAACCAAAGTCAGTTAATGCACATTCCCTATGGGGAAGATCTGGGGACTTCAGCGTTACATACAAGAGTTAATATTTAAATGTTTGTCTTGGTAAAATGTATCAATGATGTATTAATTAAATCTTATTTTCTCTGATATACTTTCCTCCATTCCAATCCCCGAACAAACAGAAAAGGTAAAGAATGAGTAAAAGAGGGGGCTGGAGAGATGGCTCAGTGGCTAAGAGCACTGACTGCTCTTCCAGAGGACCTGGGTTCAATTCCCAGCACTCACATGGCAGCTCACAGCTGTCTGTGACTTCAGTTCCAGGGGACCAAACCATTACAAAACACCAATGCACATTAAAACGAATGAATAAGACATGATATTCCTTGGGGCGGTGGTGGAGAAAGCCTTTAATCCCACTACTCGGAAAGCAGAGGCAGGCAGATCTATGAGTTCAAAGCCAGCCTAGTCTACAAAGCTAGTTCCAAGTCAGCTAGGACTGTTACACGGAGAAACCCTGTCTTGACATGGCTAAAAAGAGATCATATTCCCCTAATCCACTGAACTGAAGCGAACAGTTTGACCCCCTCAGAGCTACTGATAAGTTACTGAAATGTGGGAAGTGGCAGAGAAGGAAAACGTATTTAAAGGGTTATTTTTTTTTTTAAGGCTGAATTCAGTCATGATGAAGAATATAACATATTTATACCAGAGTACTAATGAGTGAACAGATCTGTGAAGTGAAAGCCAAAAGGGGGGGGGGGGGGGAGAATGCTGTGGCAATTGGAGAGATGTCCAAGAAGTCTATTACGGTGTCTCTACCTAATTAAGAATGCATCTGTGACTACAAGAATCAGGACACCAAGAGAAGCACAAAGCCCTTACTCCAAACACTTTTGAGCTCCTGAACGAAAGCCAAGTTCTTTCAGGTTCCTTGTTACTTTAGGAAGAAAAATTTAAATATTTAAAATATTTGCTGGGATTTTTAAAGCCACATATAATTGATAAATATTTCTGTTTTCTGATGTGAACACTATTTTTCTTCATTTAAAAGTAGGATAAGGGGTTGGAAAGATAGCTCAGGAGTGGATACTTCTCTTGCAGAGGACCCAAGTTCAAATTTCCACACCCTCATCAGGCAGCTCACAACTGCCTATAACTCCAGCTCCAACAAATTCTATTTCTCTGGCCTTAGCCACTGCACTCACACATACACAACCCCCATATATGTAATTTAAAAATAAAACAAATTTTTAAAGTAGGGCAGTTACAAAGTACAGACTGGCATGTAGAAGCCCCCAACAGGAAACAGGATTTTGTGGTAAGGTGGGCAGGGCAACATATCCAGGATGACAATTGCTGTAACATGCTTACATTCATTAGCTTAAGGGGTTTAGTTGTTTCAGAATCCAGTTTTCTCCTAAAATAGCCAAACTTCTTGTATACTACGACTCCATCATTTTCAGAACCTGTCCTTCCTAGGTAGGGGAGGGCGGAGAAAACAGAAAAGGCTCACCTGCCTTTCACATTCTTTTTGTGGTATGAAAACACCACTCTGCTATCCCTGACTTACCTAATGTACAGTGCTGGAAAACATAGTTTAATTTTAGTGTGCCTAGAAAGAGGGCACTGAGGGAATTTCTTCGGCAGGAAAGAAAAAGCATGTCACTGGTAAGGAGAGCCAGAAGAAAATGAGTTAACTAAGGGAAAGGATATTTTAGGAAGACAAAGGAAACATGTACAGATGTAGAGGGCTTGACAAGCTCCTGCTGTAGTACTGAGGAGAGGATGAGTGAGTTAAGATGCAGTTAGCCTGCAGAACAATGACTGGGTAAGATTACACTGGACCTGGGAAGGAAGGAGTCTGTCTTTTGTTCTCAAGCTATGAGAATCCATTGAAGGATTTTATGCAGAAAGGTCACATAATCTGATTTACATTTTTCATACAGATCGCTTGGCAGTATGGAAAATGGATTGCTTTGGGAAGCAAAGGCAATTAGAGCCCCGTAGCAATCACTGCAGTAGTCAAAAGTCCTACAACCAGGTGGCTAGTTAGAGAACTCACCTGGGAAGGATGACCTAGTAATCAAAGGCTCTAATTACTAGTCTCTGAAAAGCTGCAGAGGGCTTTGTGTGATTACGTAACTGGTAAGTGCTTGGAGCTGAGCTATCTCTGCCAAGATCGCACTGTTTCTTTTGGAACTGTGTTCTCTCTTAGGACTGTTTTACGGGAACAAAATCAGGAGCACACGAATAATTACGAACACCACTGCTTGGAGAGCTCTGAAAGGGACATTGAACATGACCTAGGTCTAGACTGATATCCATACCCAACTTCTTTCTTGGCTCCCACAGCCAAGTAGAGTTAACTCTTTATCTGCTGTGGAAAAAGGCTGCAGCAAGCCTATAATCTCATTCATTCATTCACTCACTCATTTACTTATTTTACTTTACTTTGTTTTATAAGTGTTTTGCCTGTATGTATGTCTGTAGACCACATGTAAGCCTGGTGTGCCCAGAAGCCATGTGGGCACTAGATCTCCAAGGACTAGAGTTAGATGATTACAAGCCAACTTGTGGGTGGTGGGAATTGAACCTGTGTTCTTTCCGAGAGCAGTCAGTGCTCTCAACCACAGAAACATCTGTTCAGCCCTACTGTCATAGTCTTACTTAACTGACCGTCTATGATCAGCTCAAGGAGTAAACGAAATTAGAATTTCTAATTCTATGTAACAATAAATAACTGGCCTCTGTGCTGACAAATATCTTTCCCCCTCCCAGCTTTGCCTCACCTAAGTCAAGGAGGCTGATTTAGGGAATGGAGGAGAGCTCCCCACTCTCCATCTTTCCTACCTCCTTGCTGACTATTCCAGGAACAAGTACTGAGGAGAGACAAGGAAATGCAAGTCTGGTTTGACTCAATGGTCCTTTGGCCAACAGGTCTGGTGGACATTCAAAGGGGAAAATCTGTTAGTCCCTGGATACTGCATTATTCTGGATGGCTTTCTGAAACCATTCCATCAGCCCAAATGGCTGACTCCTTGCTGCTTGTTATCAAGTCTCTTCTTCGAAGTGGTCCTATGGGACAGGACCCAAGCCTATCTTACACTTAGCACAAGATGCCCAGAAGATATGCATGTGCTATTGCCAGGGCACATTCTGGGAATGCAAGTCACTGCCACTCCACCCAAACAGCCTCTGAGTTTTTCCTTGCCCTGTATTTTTTTCAGGGTAGGAGTTAAGACTCTAGGCATATCATTCCTTAAAAGTAGAAATACATATCTTTATTGGTCCCAGTAGACCTTAGGTAGAATTGTGGTTGGTGGGCAGAAACCTGACCCTTTTTGCTTTCTTGCAAATGGGGGCTGGGTTCTGACAGACCAGTAGGTAGTAAAGGAAAAGTAACAAGCTCCCAACACATTATACCATGCTTCACCCTCTTATGCTGCAACTTCATGTGTTAGTAACACTGCCGATACTTCTACTCTATTTCCTTAGGTCAGGATCTCACTATGTATTCCCAGGCGGGCCTGGAACTATAAACACTGGGCTGGCCTCAAACTCAGAAGTCCTCCTGCTTCTGCCTCCCAGGTGCTGGGATTCTTCATTCTCTTCTTTTCTCCTCAAAATCCCAATCCTCTCCCTACTTCTACTTTCAATAAATTTTGCTTCCTCCTTCAAGGAGAAAACCTAAAAGCCATCAGAAAAGAATTTCTAGGACCCTACTCAGATCTACAGAACCAGAAACTACAGTAGAAGGCCTGGAAGACAGCATTAAAATAATGAACCTTGCAGATAACTCTAGTCACCCTAAAGTTTGAAAGCCACTACCTTTCACTGTTAACCCCTCCCACTACCACTAACCTCCTACTACTCTTCTCCCTCCCTCAATCTGCTCTGGCCATACAAGCCTCCTGTTCTTTTAAGCTGGGTATGCTGTGTGCAAGAGTGAATAGTGTTGTGTGTGCACATGCAGGGGTGGGAACCAGAGGAGGACATCAAGTTTCCTGCTCTATCATTCTCTACCTTATTACTTTGAGACAGGGTCTTACTGGATCTGGGGATCACCACTGTTCAGGCAAGTTAGCTGGCCTACAAGCCCCAGTTTTGTCTCCACTATCCCAACCCTCCTCAGCTTCAGAGCTCTAGGATTCACTCTTACGTGGTGCTAAGGTCTTCCTGCTTGCACAGCAGTGCTCTTAGCCACTGAGTTATCTCCCCACACCGCAATTTCAACATTCTGAATGACCACACCAGCCTGTCCAGTTTCTTTGCTCTCAGCTCTATCTTGAGGTTCTCCTGCTGGCACACCTTTCTCATCACTAGTTCACAGCACCTAAGGGTAACCCACATTTGGCTTTGGCAACACTCCCATTTCTGTTGTCATCAAGTTCAGTTAACTGGACTGTTATTCCTTAATGAGCTTGCGCCCCCCCATAAGTAAACAAACTCAAAAACAAAGATAAATATGGTTTGAGAAGGCTGCAGTATAAATCATCTATAACACAGTACTTGCACACTAAGGAAACATTTTACATACAGTATGTTGAGAATACAGGTACTTCTGGGGAAGGGACTTTAAGAAACTGCTAAGCTATTTGTGAAGATGAGTAAACTTTGATAGTGAGATGCGCGCTCAGCAACAACATTACACACAAATATTGTACGGTGTCTGCTAAGGTTGGCCTCATAGCCCAGCCTCCAAACATGCCTTCTGGACTGTGTGTTTTTCAGAATCTTTATTCCTTTAGGCCTGGGGGCATCTAATGTTCCAAATCCTGAGACCTAGAGGGAACTGTGAGGTCTTGTTTTTGTGACTGGATAGAAGAGGCTGCATCTTTATACCTGGATCCAAGGCAGATACCTTCTGGATGAGCTCAGCATGTTGTCCTAAATTATCTTCCCTAGCACTTTAGTTCTTACCTGTAGCTTTCCTGACATGCAAGGTAGGTCCCATGTCCAGATCCTGCCAATGAACAGCCCACTCAGTTGGTGATTATGAACAGAGATCAGGCTTCTTCATTACCGGCTTCCAAGGTAAGCTTCAAATGCAGTAAGCCTCTAAATAGCAAATGCTTATCACATGCCTATACCAAACTTTCCCAGTCTTTCTCAGTCACAACAAAATTATTTACTCAACCCCCAAGCCAGCTTAGGGGTGATCTTTAAAGAATGGTAAGATCGACGACAAACAATAGCCATAGCTGATTTATTCAGCGCCTCTTATGTTCCTAACTCTTGCTGCAGCTTTCCTCGGTTAACCCATACAACATGCTATAACACAAGAATTTTACATTTTTCAAATGAGAAATGGAATATTCAGAAATGAAGAGATTGACCTGGGTACAGTGGCTCATGCCTGTAGTCCCAATAATCAGGAGAATTGCCATTTAAGGTCAGCCTGGACTACTGTGAGATGATGACATCTCAAAGCAACAACAGAAGGAAAGAAAGAATTAAATGATTCTCAGCTCCAAGAAAGAACTCCAGCCCCAACTGGCAAACTAGCATTGGGACTTGCCATGAGGCAAAAGCTGTGTGTCTATAGTCCTGAAGCTGAAGGAGCAGAAACTATGGATGGGCAGATGTTAGACAATACAGTCAGAAGATGGCACAGTGGAGTGCCCTTGTGCCTTCTGAAAGATGAAGAAAACCAAACCCAGAGAACCATCAATTCCAAGTCAACTAGTTTACATGATACCTGAAGTGACCCACAATTCCCAGACACACCAATGCCCTCACAGTAAACTCCTCATTTTTGAGCATGCTTTTTGTAGCCAAGAAGGCTCCATTAGAGAGCTGAGCAGAAGGCTTTACCAGTGTTCTTGGTACAGGAGGGTGGTACCACATCCTGGCTCATAGCTTGGGTAGGCACAGTCTTCAGAGTTTTGAGCTTGGAGTCTGAGCCCTCCCCTTTTAACAGGTGTCCTTTGGTCACCTGCGCTTGTAGAGACAGGGCTGAAGTTTTAGGCCTGAGAGTTGGGCTTTGGGTCCTACTCGAGGAGGCCCAGTCTTTTCAAAGTCAAACAAGAAGAAGTGGCTGTTGGTCAGGTCCTAGGAGTAGAAAACACCAATGAGCTAAAAATCCTGACCTCAGTCATGCCTCTTTATGAGTTTCCCCAGCTCAGAGAGCTTCCTATAGCTCCTCCCAGAGTTTTTCCTTGAAAGAGCAAAATGTCTATCTCTTTGGCTACAGTCTCCTTCCTGAACACCATTACCCAGAAAAGGACAAAAACAAAAAAGGCAGACTTCTTGGAATCCTCACCTTGTAGATGACCTTAAAGCCAAGTTTGGTCACAGCCCCCAAAAAGGTCCTAATGTCCTCAAAGCGGCTGCTGACTTCAGCTACTTTGAGCAGACCCCTGGGAAAAGGAGGAATTCATGAGTACAGATGGAAACACATACATGCACACAAAAATTCATCCATGTCCTAGAGACTCACCCCGGCTTTAGCACTCGATTTGCCTCCTCAAGGAAGTCCCTAATGTTAGTTCCCATTAGTGAAAGGCAAAACACAGCCACATCCACAGATTCATCCTCCAGAGGTACCTGACAATGAAGGGTATTAGATGGAGCACATGACATTGTAAAGGGACATTCAGCACCAAGCGCTGAAAGGGCTAGGAAACCACAGGCCAGATACACAGAGGTGCTTACCTGGGCCATGTCACATACAGTGACCCTGGGATCCAGAGAGGCCAAGTCAAAACAGTGCACAGGGTTCCGAATACTTGAAGCCAGACGGCAATCTCCGCAGCCAAAGTCAGCTACCACCAAGGATGCAGGCCTGCAAGCGGAGGGGAAGGAAGGGGTCATATACTGGTCTGATCTAAGTCCTTGACCACCCACTTCACCCTCACATGCTCCATAGCCCCTGTCCACCTCCCATTACTTCTGTCGCAGATCTTTGGCAATACGATCCACCGGGTGCAGTGGCCACTTCTTCACTTGTTTCTGAAAGCCTCGGTGATAGAGGAGAAAAGCCTCGGGGTCTTCCTGGAAGAGCCGTTGGGCAGCACTGCTGGGCCCTGAGTACAACTGTTCATTAAGGTATCGAAATCGGGCCCCATCCAGCCGCTGTGTCATGCGTGCTCGCAGAGCCCCGGCTCTAGTCTGTTGACTGTCTGACTGTGGGGCAGGAGGCACCTCAGGCTCCTCTGTGGAAGCCATGGGAGGAACCTGGTCTGGTGTCTGAAGTGGCCGAAACTTGTTCTTGTGCTTCCGCTTATTCTTCTGCCGGTTCCGCCACTGTCTGCGGCTCAGGGTATGTGAGGAGTTACAGGATGTGGACTCAGAGCTTGGCTTGGGTGGGTCAACTGTAGCAGTACTTGTCATAGCATTGTGAACTGCTGAGAGGAAGATGAGAAGGCATTTGAGGCTTGAAAGGCACAGCAAACCATCTTGTCTATTCCCTTGTCTGTAAGGCAAAGTCTGTGGCCTGGATAGAAGTGCTTTTTACCATCCAGCCTGTATGTGTGTGAGTGTCTGTCTCTGAGTGTGTGTGTGTGGGGGGGGTGTATATATAAATATATATATACATATATATATATAGAGAGAGAGAGAGACAGAGACAGAGATAAAGAGAGACCTTTGTCATCTATGCAGTCAGCTCACAGGCCCCCTCCCACCCTTCCACCCTCGTCCCCAGTAGGTACCTGTATGGTCAACACTGTTCAGGTGCTGGGTTGGGTGTGAATGAGAATATTTCTGGCACTTCCTCTTTCCTTTTTCTTCAGCAGATACCCCACCAAGAAGAGTTTGTCTCTGGCACTTCCTTTCTATTTCCTTGTTCTCAGAGTCACTGACAGATGGTACCTGTTTTTGACATTTCCTTTTTCTTTCCTTCAAGGCGTGGGCAAGTGAGGGCTTTTGGAGGTACTTCTTCTTCCTTCCTACCTCCTCCTCCTCCTCAGAATCACTGCCAGGTGGGCTGGGGGATTTCTGGGAAAGAGATGCTGCTTCCAGAGCCCGTAATGTGGCCAAGAGATGGCGGCGCTTGCGGCCCTGGAGGTAAACAAGGGATGCAAGTAGGTGTGAGAATGGATGAGGTCTCTCTCCAGGCCCATGAGAATGGATGAGGTCTGGAGAATAAGAAAGGAGAGATACTGGTGATTCTTCTCAGCCAGTTTAATGTGTTTGTTATAAAGTCTGCCAAGCCTAGAACTTTCAAGCTGCAATCCCAAGCTCTGGGAAACTGGAGAGTGTCAACATGCTTCTACCCTGCTTTTTAAAATGTGTAAAGGATTGTCAGGTGATGCTCCTTAGAGGAATGTGCTAAGGTCACAAACACCAAGACCACAGCTGATAGCATTCCAGGAGCACCCGAGAGGTTTCTTGAAACAGGAAAAACAACATCACACATGTCTATTAAAGATGTTCCTCACTGCTGTAGAGGTAATAGCCTGATAGGATGAGGCTACACATAGGCAGGCCAGCTGCCTGCATTAGAATGATGGGCTACAGAGATGAAAACAACATCCTGGGCTGACTTAAAGGTCAGAAACACCCTAAGGAGGTACAGAAGTTCTCACATCGGATGAGGCTCAAAGGAAAAGACCTGTTTTCTGGGAAGCTGACTTATTGTTCAAGTCCTGCAGCTGATCCTCGGACAGGCATTCACCTCGGAAGTTCTGGGTTCCCCGTACCTTTTAAAAATAGTGATTCTGATAACCCGCCCTGCCACCTGCTTTGACTGTGTCCAATATACTTTCTACAGTGTAAATAATAACCTTTTCAGGCTGGGGATGCAGCTGAGTGGTGAATGCTTGTTTATCATGCTGAAGTCCTGGAACTGATCTCCAGTATAAAGTGATGCCTGATGACAGAAAATGCAATGAAACCACTCCATTGCTAAAACAACTCCATTAACTTCTACCCTGAGTGTATGAAACTTTACTTTTCAAGCCTTCATTTATTCTTGTGCTCCACCCTCCGGACCCCGCATTCCTATGTTGTGTGTTGCTGTCCCCCGGATTTCTCCACGTTTTTCTACGTTCTTCCACGTTCTTCTCCGCACCAACTTCTCGCCAACTGTATTTTAAAGGTCAGTTTTTTTTTTGGGGGGGGGAGGAGTTTCCGAACTCCCTCCATCCCGATCCACGACAGCACTGCAATCTCTCCTTCTCCCCAGCACGGACAGGGGCGGCTGGGGGCGCGGGGGTGAGGGGTGGGGGTGAGGGTGGGGGGGTGGAGTCGGTTTCGCCCTCAAACAGCCCAGTCCCCGGCCGCTCACCTTGACTGGCGGGGCAGTCGCTGGCCGAGTCTCTATTGTTGCGGGACTGAGGCCCACGGCTGCTGGGGCCGCCTCGGCCCATTCCGGCTCCTCGAACATGCCAGTGGACTGCAGGATCGCCGAGCACACGCCGCAGCCACGTGCAAAGCCCGTCAGGGAATCCTAGTGTTGAAACCTGACCAAATCCAGCCGGAAGCCACCGAGTGAAAGCCTGTGGTGGCTAGAGCGGCCAGCGCGGAGCAGAGCACCATCGAGTGCAGCTGCTGGAGAGCTAGAGAGGCAGTAGGAGGTCGGAAGGGAGGGACGGTGACCCGCTCTGGCCGGAGAGGGCCGGGGCGGGGCGGGGCCGGGCGGCGGGCGCGGCCGGACGGGAGTTCCCCGGAGAAGGCGCCTGCGGCCGGAGTCCCGGTGAGTGCGGGTGTCTCTGCGCCCTGCCCCACGTTGGTCCTGCAAACCTGTCTCTGCGATCTCTGCAGCAGTTAGGAACTGGGAGCCGGGGCCGCCCGCGAAGGACCTCTGTCCCCAACTCCGGGTGCTTGCAGCTTGTCCCCCCCCTCCCCTCCCCCCAGCCGTGCTCGCGGGTCGGGACTCGGTGCCTACAGACACCGACTCAGGAGGTTAGCAAAGTCCCTCCTACACTGCCACACCCCGACCACTTCGCGCCCAGTGGTCGTCCCGCTGCTCAAAGTCCTTCACAGACAACCACTGTCACTCTCGCAACGCCTAGCCCCCCATCCCAGCGCAGACACCTCTGTTCTGCAGAAAACAGAGCAGAACTCATCCTCTTGTCTCTGCTTTCCTGCAGTCCCCCAAGGCTTCTCCAGTCCCGGGTCTCAGTGCTGGGACGCTGCTATGGACGACATTTTTACTCAGTGCCGGGAGGGCAACGCGGTGGCGGTGCGCTTGTGGCTGGACAACACAGAGAACGACCTCAATCAGGGGTGAGCTGAAGCGCTGGAGAGTGAGAGAAAGGCTATCAGTCCCTTCTCTGCTACGTGGGGTGTTAATGTCGGGCGGGGGCAGCTGACTTTGTTAGCCAGTGTGAGGAGTAGTAAGCAGAGACTGTTGGAGGGGGGATCTACATAGAGGAAGCTGTGTCTGAACTGAATTTTTAAACTAAGCTTCACAATCGGGGGTTCCGGGTTGCTTTGCAGCCTCTGTGTCAAACGCAGACCAGAGTGCCAGGAAATTGCCTGGAATGACATATGGTTGGAGAATAGGTTTCTGTGCCCTAGAGCGTTGGATAGAAGTGGAAAAGGACAGATGCCTGTAAGCAAAGTTCTGAAGCTGTGTATCGATGAGACTGCCCATTTGTCTAATATCATCCTGGAAGTTGCCTCGAAGTGATGTTTTGGACTAGAATTGGGACAGTTGAAAAACTAGGAGTGATGAAATTCTCCCAGAGTTATAAGGATGAACTGGTTGACTTGGCATGAAAACTGAAGGTAATAAAGATGACCTGGGGTTTGTGAGGTTTGGGCATTTGGATACTTGGAAGTTGCTGATGTTCCATCTGGACTGATAAAGTTATGGTGACACTACAACAACTGGGAAATGTTGGGCAGGTTGTTGGTTATGTAGATTTGAAGTTCAGGAGAGGTCTGACTGGGAGACCAAGACACTGCAAATTATCATTTAAATGTGGTATCTGAAGATTCTGTAGTGTGAAAAAAATAGTACCTCAGAAGAGTAAAAAATTAAGGCAGAGGATTAGAAGCCTGTCTGACAGGGATCAACCATCTGAAGGAGAAATAGGAAAATGAATTAAGATTAGAGAATGTTTAATTAAAGAAGACTGGTCACTTGTAGCATGAGCTTCTGAGAAGTTAAAAACATGAATGAGTATCTTAAGTTATTACGTTTAGGTTATATTTGATCTTGTAAATGAAATTGCAGAGAACAGGAAACTGCATTATACTGGGTTCCTTTAAATAAGGAACACCACCAGTGGTGGTTGCTAGAGTTTTTATATCAAACATAATCAGTGCCCTCGAGATGGCAGGCTTCTGGAAGGGAGAAAAGTGAACTAGAAGTGAGGAAACAGAGAAAATATGAACACTTTCTAAAACGCTGGCTGATACAGGAAAGCAAGAAAAGCATTGTTGGAAAAGTTTAGTAGGTAGTTTTCACTTGCTTTTGGAGACAGGGTGTCTTGTAGTTCAGAGTGGCCTTCAACTCTCCATCCTACTGCCTCAGGCTCCTGAGTGCTAGGTTTTCAGTTTGCTATCACCATGTGTGACTAGAAGAGTGTACTTTTTTTGGTTGTCCTAGGCCAGGTTTCACCAACTCCCTTTAGGCTGTGTTATTTCTCTGTAATATTCAGTTTTTTCATTTTTCACATGACTTGTATGCTCTGGTACACACTGAGCCATGTTTTGTTGGTAAGGAAATAGTTTAGGCTGTTGTCCAGTGGGAGTGGCATTTTGGAAGATTCCTTGCTGTCAAAAGGTGAAAGGCTATTGTTAGGGAAACCAGAAAGATTTGGTGACTTGAGGGGATAGGGTGTGTTGGTGGTGGTGGTTAATTCCCTACAGGTTTTCTTGAGATAGTAATCTAGGCCCTGGGGTGACAGTAGGCAAAATTCAGTGCATTTATTTTTGTTCTCAAACTTGGGTTTACTCTGAGGCCAAGACTGCTGGAGGCTGTTAGGTCAGAACATATGAAAAGTCTGGGAGACAAGACTGATAGCAAGGGATATACTCACATCCTGGGGAAAGGTTTTTTTTTTTTTTTTTTTTCTGATTGTGTTAACAGATGAGGGCAAACTGGAGGAACAATTTTTTTTTTTTAAAGCTACATACCTCCTTCAGCTGTTGGGGGATTCTGGGTGACCAAGTCTGGATCAGCTCAAGGCCCCTCCTCCAGCCCCCCTCACAGGAAGTGACCACAGCACTAAGGCATCCAGAGGCTGCAGGCCTAAACCACAGACCGCCCCCTGTTCCACCCCTTAGATCTGCATCTCTGGACTGGAGGGAATCTCCTTTTATGGCTCCAGGCTGTCAGTTTGACCCAGCCCACCTAAATGTTTTGTTTGTACACTTTTCCTTATAAAATACATGTTCTTAGGGAACGGAAATACAAATCAGATAGTTTTATTTTAAAGCTTCCATTTATGTTTTCTTTTGTGTGTAAGTAGGAAAATCCTGTTTTGTGTTATCTGCCTCAGCAGTAATCAAAAGCATGTTTCCTTGTCACTATATCCCTCCAAAACATTTTAATTCCATTCCATTTTTAGATGTTAGTTACAATACCAAAGCCAAATAGTAAGTTTTTTCCCGCTCCTAAGTTATGGCCTGCCTTCTCCAAATGCCCCTCTCCCATTAACCTACATAGAAAGAATATCAGCTGTCAGGCTGTCCTCAAGCATATGATCTAACAGGCAAGACAGTCCAGTGTAAATCTACAGTAAGAAGAGACACAAGAAGCAGTGGAAACAAAGGATTACAGGTGTTGCTAAGGATCTGTGAGCTGAAGATACAGCATAGTGGTACAGCATGCGCCAAGTATGTACAAGGCCCTGGGTTTGACTCCTAATACTGTCAAACAAGGAGGCAGCAGAAGCCAAAGAACACAGGAAGAGTGCTATCACCTAATGAAGAAGTGCTAGGAAGAGGTTCTAGGAGATGGTCATTAAAGTAATAAACCTTACAGTTGTTGGGACATCTAAGTGACTGGGTGTGAAGCTCAAGGGGGAGTCTGAATTGAACTTTGTGAATTGCTGACATAAGAGCTAAGTACTAGAGAGACAAGCCTTTTCAGTGAGTATAGAACTCTACCATCAAAGCTTTTGTCCCTCCCAACTTTCAACTTCAGCAGTGTCTATGCCTTTCTCAAAGGGATGATCACGGCTTCTCCCCCTTGCACTGGGCCTGCCGAGAAGGCCGCTCAGCAGTGGTTGAAATGCTGATCATGCGGGGAGCACGGATCAATGTGATGAATCGTGGGGATGATACCCCCCTGCACCTGGCAGCCAGTCATGGACACCGTGACATCGTACAGAAGGTACACCCACACAAAGTGAGGTCAAGAACAGGCACTGTCATATGGAGAATGTATACTATTCTCCCTTTCCTCATGCCTAGAAACAAATACCTCATTTGGGACTGTTCTTTTCTTTTCTTGGCCATGGGGCACAGCTGTTGCAATACAAAGCTGACATCAATGCAGTGAATGAGCACGGGAATGTGCCCCTTCACTATGCCTGCTTCTGGGGTCAAGACCAGGTGGCAGAGGTAAGTACTCAGATCTCAAGTCCTAGGATGAGTGGGAAACAAATTGAGCATGGAACCATCAACCCATCTTGTCAGTCCTACCGTGTGACACAGGATGGTACACTGCATCTCTGTTCATGCTTGCTTGTAACTGACAGTTAACAGAGGCCCCCTAAATAAAACCATTTCTTTTCAGGACCTGGTGGCTAACGGGGCTCTTGTAAGCATCTGTAACAAGTACGGAGAGATGCCTGTTGACAAAGCCAAGGCACCCCTTAGAGAGCTTCTCCGAGGTTCATTCCCTACCCCTGGCTCCTGTCCTCTTGTCTTCCATCTCTTCCCTGTATACCACAATTAAGGCTAAGACTGTTTTTCCTCCCCAGAACGGGCAGAGAAGATGGGCCAGAATCTCAACCGAATTCCATACAAGGACACATTCTGGAAGGGGACCACTCGCACTCGGCCCCGTGAGTCATTACTGTGGGGGGAAGGGCTGTAATACAGGATTCTGGGCGAGGTGGGTTAGGGTGAAGCTGGGTACCTGACCTGCCCATATTCTTAGGAAATGGGACCCTGAACAAACACTCCGGTATTGACTTCAAACAGCTCAACTTTCTGGCAAAGCTCAACGAAAATCATTCTGGAGAGGTGATCCCTGCCCTTCTTGCCCCTCCCTCTCTAACACTCACAAACTGCTACTCTGTGTCTCTAAAGTTTTCTTCCAGTTAATGGAAAGAAAATAGTATAGCCTGAGCTAATGCCTCCTAACCTCCACCTGTCCTTCAGCTATGGAAAGGCCGCTGGCAGGGTAACGACATTGTAGTGAAGGTGCTGAAGGTTCGAGACTGGAGTACAAGGAAAAGCAGAGACTTCAATGAAGAGTGTCCCCGGCTCAGGTGGGACAGCAAAAGTGGAAGCTGTTGTTTCTAAGGAACCCCAGATAGTACTGAAAAGGGAAATTCTGTTGGGTCTTACCACTCTCTCCCTCTCCCAGGATTTTCTCACATCCAAACGTGCTTCCAGTGCTAGGTGCTTGCCAGGCTCCACCAGCTCCCCACCCAACCCTCATCACACACTGGATGCCATATGGATCTCTCTACAATGTACTACACGAAGGCACCAGTAAGGATGCTGGCCTTGTTGGGGAGGGCTAAAATAGGGGTGGTAAACTCTACAGTATTCTTACTTCCTGTTAGATTTCGTTGTGGACCAGAGCCAGGCTGTAAAGTTTGCTTTGGACATGGCAAGAGGTATGGCTTTTCTCCACACACTAGAGCCTCTCATACCTCGACATGCACTAAACAGCCGTAGTGTAATGGTGAGTCCACAAGTTCATTACTGGTTCCCGAAACCCTCTGCATGCCTACAATAGGGCCCACCTTTTTGAACTTTTCTTCCTCAGATCGATGAAGATATGACTGCTCGAATCAGCATGGCTGATGTCAAGTTTTCCTTCCAGTGCCCTGGGCGCATGTATGCACCTGCCTGGGTGGCCCCTGAAGGTAGGTGAAGGCATCATGTTGGGAAATTGAGAAGAACCAGCGAAGTAACAGTAGAAGAGGCAGACAGGACAGGCTAGGCAGCTGGAACAGTAAGCCCTATTCCTTCCAGCCCTGCAGAAGAAACCTGAAGACACAAACAGACGCTCAGCAGACATGTGGAGCTTTGCAGTGCTTCTGTGGGAACTGGTGACACGAGAGGTACCCTTTGCTGACCTCTCAAATATGGAGATCGGAATGAAGGTGAGCACAGACCTGCACACACTTGTATAGGGGTAGTGGTGCTGACAATCACTGTGGTAAGCTCTTCTCACAATTTGTACGGATATATAGTAACCCCATTGAAGGGTCAAAAGTTTTTTTTATCATATGATCAATTCCAATTCTGAAGTTCACCTTGTTCCTTGTACTTTCCAGGTGGCACTGGAAGGCCTTCGGCCTACCATTCCACCAGGTATTTCCCCACATGTGTGTAAGCTCATGAAGATTTGCATGAATGAAGACCCTGCAAAGCGACCCAAATTTGACATGATTGTGCCTATCTTGGAGAAGATGCAAGACAAGTAGGACTGGATGGTCCCTGCCCAGACTCCAGAGGTGTCAAAACACGGTTGGGGGAGTGTACTTCCCCAAAGCTGAAGGCCTCTGGTTGTCTCCCATCTCCAATCATGGTACTACCCCAATTATGGGGCTCATCCCTGCTCCCATTCCTACCACTGTAGCCCCAAAAGGGGCTTGGCTCAGAGCTTTGTCACTTGCCACATGATGTCTCCCAACATGGGAGGGATAAGCCCTGCCTGTCACAATAAAGTTTATTATGAAAACAGGCTGGTGTGGGGACAGAGGGAAAGACAAATACATCTGGGTTAGGTGGCTCAGGTGAAGTAGTGCGGCTTCTTCACATTGATACCATATTCGCTGAGGGCAGGGGTCAAGTCCTCCATGGTTAGGGTGTACTTGCGATCCTATGGAAAGAGGGAAGACCACCAGCTGAGCACAGTAATCCCAGATTCTATCCCCTTGTGGGAAACCCTGAGTAGGCCCAATACCTCCCCTAGGATGCTGCTTCCCCAAACGGGTTTCAGGATAGGTTAAGCCTATACTGCTGTGGAAGATGAGCCTCCTTTCACACCTTGCTCTTGCTCCGGGAGCTGCCAGAGGCTGTACCCTTCATTTTGCAGTGCTGTAGAGCGTCGTTGGCAATATCTGAGATGAATTTCTGGGCAGCAAGTGAGATGAGCCGAATTCTAGACAAAAGTTGGGGGGGGGGGGGGAGACGTAATGGGACATATAACAAACTGCACCCAGCACTCAACAGTCTAACCTGCCCTGAGTTTACTACTCACATGCGTGGGTCTGAAGCTTCAAAGCCAGCACGGTTCAGGTAATAACCAGTCACTGCATCTGGAATCTGAGAAATCAAATTGAACAGCGGTCAGTATTAGCCCTGACCCGATGCAGCGCGGGTGGGAAGGAGGAATAAAAAGAGCTAGCAGTGTAGAAAAGAGGACTCTTGAAAGACACGACTGCGAGCCAGATGGCCTTATTCAGGAGGGAAGCCCACCGTAGGCGTGTAATCCTCCAGCTGCATCAAGAAATCCACCAGAGGCGTGCTGGACACTACAGGCTTCACTTCTCCGTTGGCCGCGCTCGGCAGGGCGTAAACCCCGTTAGACATCGCCCCTTCAGGGGGAGCCGCGCCGCCCGCTGCCACCGAAGCTGAGAGAGAACAACCGGGGGTGAGAAGAGCAGGGGTCCCCGCGCCGCGGGGCCCAGTCCGCGACTGCCCCCCTCCCTCCCTCGGCCCGGCGCTCACCCGGGCCGCGCCGCTCCGCCGGCTCCCCGGCTCGCGCCGCCACGGGGCCCGTCCCCGTAGCGGCGGCCCCAGTCCCGGGCCCCCCTGCTGTCCCCGCGGGACTGGCTTTGTTCTCCGCGGCTGTGCTGGTGGGCAGCGCGGCGGGAGCCGACACCGGGGGCGCCGGACCCGCGACCGAGGCGGCACAGGCCGGCGCCGCCTCGGGGTCCGCGCCGGAGCCGCTGCAGCTCATGGGGCTGGTGGGAGAGGCGGCGAACAGAGCCGCTTCCGCTTCCGCTCGCCCAGGCGCACGCCGCGTGACGTCACAGTTCCCGCCCACCACTCTAGGCAGGCCTGCGGCTGGCAGGCTCTGAAGCCGCCGCCGCAGCAGGCGACCTCTGGTTGGCTGTGGGTAGATTAGGTGTAACCTACAAGGCTGAGGCGAACTGTGAGAGATTATGGCTTTAAACCCGCGGCTCAACCCCCGCCCGAGTGGGGCCGGAGAGCATCCGAGACTGCACACTTCACATGTGTGCACAGACTTTGCTTGGGGACTCAACGATTAGAGACATTTCTTCACTACCAGTCTCCTGACAGGCTTTATTCTTTGTAGTTCCCTTACTCAGCCATTTAAGGGTTGTAGTGGATTTGGTGACTATCCCACCAACCCACCCACCCTGAAGAAATGACATGCTAAAGTCACAGTGAGTGAAGCACAACGGCAGTTCAACAGTCATTTATTTAATTCATATTTGCCAACTACTGGCCTAGACCTAGGGATACAACGTTAAGTAGGATAAGATTCTGATTCACTAGCAACAGTCTAGGAAAGGAAAGCAAACAAACTGGCAATTTCAATTCTATATGGAAGTTTCCCAGCTACATGTAGGAACAGTGCAAGGAAGAAAGGGAGCTAACATCAGCTGCCTAATTCCAAGTGTCAGTATCAACGTTTATTCCCTGATTTTTAAGGCATGTTTCAATGCCCCTGACTTTTACTCAGTAATTTTTGAAGAGTTTGTACAAGTAAATACACTGCTTTATCTTGCCCATGGGTAGAAAGTCAAGAATGTTGAGGGGCTTTGGGAGTGGCTCCCCACCCCAAGTGCTTCCTGCAGTTTAGTGGAAAACAACATGGGCTCAAAGCTAATGCAGTAGCAATGGAGACGAAGAGGTGAGGGTGTGTGTGGTGAGGGTGTGTGTGGTGTGTGTGTGTGTGTGTGTGTGTGTGTGTGTGCGCGCTATTTTTGAGGCTGGTTCTCACTATGTAGCCCTGGCTTGCCTGGAACTCTCTATGTAGACCAGGATGGCCTAGAACTCACAGAGACTTGCCTGCCTCTGCCCCGTGAGGGCTGGGATTAAAGGTGAGCACCACCACACCAGCTGAAGATGTATTTGAAAGGTAAAGTCAGTAAAACTTGTTGGTTGAAGTTAATGGGGTGAAAAAGAAAATGAGAGCTAAGGGTTGTAGGTTTTGAAAGAGGCATTGTATCATATACCAAGAAATGAAATAGCTGAGGTTTAGGTAGGAGGAAGATGAAGTATTGAGGTATCTCACATTTGAGGTATCAATCACTGTGGGTATAGATGTCAGTGATGTGTTTGAATGACGATGAATGAAATGAGAGCAAAAAATTAAGGCTGGAGCAATGAAGAACACCCGAATCCCAGGAGGTAGCAGAAAAGGAGGCTAGCCGGTGTGGTTAGAGTGGGTATGCACTGGTAGCTAAGGAGAAAGGGTGAACAGGGAACTGATGAAAAGAGCGAAAACCCAGGCTCACAGAAGCTAGATGTTTGCAAATATCTACCAGCTGAAATAAAAACCAAATGTTGCTTTACTGTAGCCAAAAAGGGGGAAATTAAATGTAAATTAAAAAAAAATTACTGCCAGGCATTGGTGGCAAATGCCTTTAATCCCAGCACCTGGGCAGCAGAGGCAGGCGGATTTCTGTGAGTTTGAGGCCAGCCTGGTCTACAGAGCTAGTTCCAGGACAGGCTCCAAAACAATATAGAGAAACCCTGCTTTGAAAAAAAAATTTTTTTTTGTTGTTGAAGCAAAATTTAAAGGTGACATTCATTTTTAATGGCCTGTTTATTTTGTTGAGAAATTTTACCAATGAGAACATATTTAAAACACTTTGAGTTTACAAATGTTTTACTTTCTTTAGAATATGAGATTGTTGGCAATCTGTTCTTGAAAAACAAACAAACAAAACAAAACAAAACAAAAAACAAAGATTAAAGAAGTGCATACTGGATAAAATATCAGGGAGACCATTGCACCTCAGTGCCAGGAGAAGAAGGACTAAACAATTAGTGCAAAGGTCTTATTCCAGTGAATTGAGAAGGAAACTTGAAGAGAAATAGAGCATACAGTCAGTGCAGAGGTGGTAAGTTCCGGACGGACCTGCTAGTATCAGTAATGCGAGACAACCTCCTCATCTTCCTTTCACATCTCAAGTTGGAAAGAGGAAGAAGAAATGGGGAAGAGTCAAAAAAAAAAATAAGCTGGTTATAGCATCTTGTTGAGTTAGGAGACCTGAGTTTGATGCAGCACAGTAGGGTTGGGAGTCAAGTCCTGCTCACAGCATTTGAGGGTTAGGGAAAGATGTCTGCAGGAGGCAAGAGTTGAGAGTTTAGCAGGGCTTCCATTGAGGCAGAATAAGGGACTAATCCTTCTCTTGTAGAACAGGGGACAATTCTACTTTCCCAGCAGGAAAGGGTCAAGGGTTGAGTAGAGTCTTCAGTAGAGCTGGGAAGTTGGGTGTTCCCCAACCTGTCACAGGATCCCAGCCAGGACCAGAGCAGAAACCCTGACCCTCCACTTCTTCATTCAGACAGGACTCGTGGCAGCCATGGGTTACCTGGGAGGAGGTGGTGGACATCAGATCTGGGCCTGCTGGTACCCATATTCTTAGACAACACCTTATTTATACTCATATCATAGAGGCAATCCCATATAGCAAAAGTGTCCCAAGTTCTTATCATCCTTCCCCATATTCTCTGACAACATCCAGCTTCTGTCCTCTAACACTTACATCAAAGAGTCCTGCTCCATGCTGCTGATAGAGCCTTGGATTAAGAAAGCCAAGAGGGGGGCGGCCATTGAGGATTCTGTGTTCATTTATCAAGGATAAAATTCCCCCAAACACTGGAGTAGAGGCCTGCAAGATGGAGATGCAAGAATAGGTCAGGGTTTCAGAGTGATTAGACTTTTGAGGAATGATGCTTGCAAAGGTCAGAAGTCTAAGGAGTCAGGGGTGCAAGACTTTATACGTAAATGAGTGAGGGTAGTTCCTGAAGAGAAGTTTCAGAGCCAAGCTGATTCTCACCGAGGTTCCAGATACCCATGGAATGGGGACCTTGTTGCTGACTACCCAGTAGCCATCAGAAAGTGCAGCAACATCTGGGTAGGCACGGCCACTAGCATTGAAGTAACTAGATGGTGGTAGGTGAGAGCTGGACTTCAAGAATTTGGCCACTGCTTCCTCCTGAAGGACATTTCTGAGTGTGAGTATTGGTCAGCAGCCTGTTCAGCTGACTGCTGGACTGAGGATCCCCACCCCCATCCTCCATATATCCACTTGAACACGCACAAACCTGGTATGAAGGCTGTGGGAAAACATTGCTGAAGCCTCCACCACTGATATAGTCAACTACTTCATTTGTGATTTGGAATGGATTCCTGAAGGAGGTGCCACCCACGGTAGTGACATAGGGGCTAAAGAGAAGACAGTATTCACAGATAGTGGGTGACTCCAAGATGTGTGGAGGGTGGGTGTGGTCTGGGTCTTACTGCAAAAGGGAGTAAGACTATAAAAACCTGCATACAGTGTTTACTGAGAGACAGGTAAAGCTGAAGGCTGAGCCATAGCAGCACCTGGTGGGGTCAAAGCCATAAGTGAAAGATTTGAGGGGTACTTACCTAGAGGCAGGGAAGCTAGGACGGAACTTGTGTTTTCCAGAGACAGACCAACACCCAGCTCCAGTGTCACCTGGGAGAGACAGATTAAATACTCAGATTAGTTGGC